CATTAAATGCAAATGTATTTTACACTTATTCATGAGGCACAGCTTACTGTTATAGGTGACATTTTAAAGACTTTTTAATCGTTATTTTCAATCTTTCTGAAACCTATGGATGCCGCAAAGGAGTTGTACAGTTGATTATGACAGACCTATACACATAATACCTCCTAAAATGTATATAAAAACTGGTTGGTCTTTCTAAACATGCTCGCTATGGTACGATTATATGAGGTTCTTTTTGTCCTGAAATTGCCTAGTGTGAGAATTGAGATACAGACAGCATTTTCTATTGAACTATCCCTTTAAAGTATTGGAATGACAGGGGCTAAAACAATAAGTGGTGCAGTTTATATTGTCAAACTCCAACACAAAAACACTACAGTCAGGTGGTATTTTCTGGCAAGCAAATGAGTCACAAAACACATGAAGTTCATTTAGCAAACTGCGGGTATGAAAAAGGCTCCCACAATAGCACTTGAAATTAAATATTTGTTCAGAAAATGGATGACAACAAAAACCCATGCAGCACCGGGGGGACATCACAGTTTGGGTACGAGGAAGACCCAAAAATAATATAAAAGTGGTAGAACAAATAGGGGTTAAAGTTACCCAGTGGTAAACTCAAATCAATATAAAAATCATATTAAACTTGCCAGGTAGTTTGCAGCAGTCACACCCGGGTATGCAAGATCAAAACGGGTAACCAGTGCAGGCTGTGGGTAAAAATGAAAGAATATTACCAGCCAGTAGAATTGGTCAAAAATTAAAGAGATACATGGGAAATTAGTGATGGTTACCCAGTCATATGCAGAGAGAGATAGAGGAGAAATAATGCAATGTTGTAGGTAAGAGAGATATGAAAGATCCTTTTCTAATGGGGCACTGTGTAACTCGTCTTGTGGAGGGTCCGTCATCTGCTTGTCTCAATGGAAAAAAGCAGCGAATGTTCCACAACATGGCCATGAATTTAAAAATCTCCTTGGAGACTTGCAAGCAAAATTACAGGTTAAAATTACAATTTACAATTTAAACCAAAGCATTAAGCGGACTCTTAAGCGGACCCTTTCGCCACACAAAAGTTACACAGTCCACCTTCAAGATTTAAAGGCGCTCTACCTGATTTTTACCATTTTTATCAAATGAGAAAACAGAACTAGTTCATTTTAAACCACTTGTAGACACTTTCCTAATGCGTTCCTAATGTCTTAATTACTCAAAACTATAACTTCCTGAGTTTATAGAAGTGTTTCAAAGCTTTCATAGTAATGTTAACAATAACTAGCATGCTAACAGCACACTTCCTGGTTCACAGACCATAAAAAAGATTTAAAATTACATGGAACAACACCCAGTAGTTTTATTTGATGTCTGTACTGTAACTAGGTCTGTCACGATAATTAATCTGATTTATCATTCCAAATATAAAAGATGTAATAATATTTCTGACTATTTATTTATTTAGCTGCAGAGGGTTGATTAAGTGACCTCTGTGGCTAATTATTGGTTAATTCTGTTGTTAATTCATTGCGGCTTATGCCTTTTGGGACTGCATTTTAAAATCGTTTACTGGGATTATTTTATTGTTATTGTGTGTTATTGTTTATCGCAGTATATCTCTGTAGCAATATATCATGCTTCAAAATGTATTATCGTGACAGACCTATAGCTAAAGCAATTCTTACTTTATTGCATGAAAAAATCAGGTGCAGCCCCTTCACTATCAGACTCCAGCTGTGTATGTGTAAAGTGAATGTCAAGATTCATCACATCCAGCACTTATCACACACAACAAATGTAACTAACACTTTTATATGAGATCACATCTTGTCAAAAACCCCACACCGAACACTGGCAAAATCTCAGATAAGTGTCAAAACTGCCTTACTGGTGCAATACTTTACATATCACTCCTGAGAGGCAAGTGACACCTAAAAGATACTGCTCTAGATTATTATTACAATTCATCAACCTGCCCAGAGACTACAGGTGGACATAGGCACTTATCTTCTGTTAAAGATATTTGTATATTGTGTCACTGTCTCATTACATGAAATAAATAAAACTAAACTAAATTCTTCATGCACACGTTTGGGTATTTCTTTAATATTAGTTTGTCTACATCTTCAAAGCTCAAAATGCTCTTCTACCAATTTTCAATTTAACAGCTACCTTTTTACCTTTTGTTAAGTAGAAATAGGGAATTCTAGGGCTGAAATTCATTATTTGATTCTAGTGAAGGTGTATGGAGTTTAAAAAGAGAGCACTGTATTACCTGTATTACCACATGACAACACAAGGTAGAACAGTGTTTTCCATTTAGAGAAGAACTAAATACCCTAAATATTTGGGGCTCGTGTGTTAAACATTATAACATAGATCAGAAATTAGTGTAATATTGGTATCAGAATTGAAAAGGCTAGATTGGTGCATCCCTAGTCTCAATATTATCAATCGAGATACTCAATTGAGATTTAAATTTGTCGATTCGGCCCACCCTTTTTCCTACCTAGAGCAATATGACCTTTTAAAGTACCTTAAGGGAAACACATGAGCTCAAAGCAGCTTTAAGGGCACATGCTGGTCATTACACTACTGCATAACATTTACATAACCAATCTGCACATTCACTCTGAGACCCTGAGCAGATGCTTGGCAGTCCTCAGACGCTTTATTAGCACCATTAGACCAGAGATGACAGGGAGTCTGAAGTCGGGGACAGCTACACTAATTACGCCTGGTTCACAACAGAGAGCTAAAGCAGCAGGCTTTCACAGCATAAGGGTATAAAAACAGCTAAATATAAGAGGAAAATAGTAAAACGTGTGTCTGTAGGCATTAAAAGGAACATCTATAATGATCTATTGAAAGTGGAATCTGTGACGCAGGTTGGTCCCCTAAGCACCTGGAGTTGTGTTTGTTTTATTCACACATGTTTGAGTAACCCTGCATTATTAGTCCATCTACATCTCCAAAGCTCAGCAGCTACCTTTTCAGTAGAGAGTGACAATTCCAGGACTGAAATTATCCAAATGATTCTAGTGAAGTCCAGTGACACATCTCCTGCGTTAGCACATGACATCACAAGGAGAGTTTTCAGTTTGAGAAAATAACTCATCTTAAATGCGTAGGGTTTGTGTGTTAAGCAAAGAAAACAAAACAAAACACAACTACAGGTCTGTTTTTGAGGAGGAACCAATATTACGACATGGATCAGAAAATAGCATAATAAAATGGGACCTTTAAGGGGATAGGAGCTAAAGTGTAAAGTAGTTACTAAGCCTGTTTCATTTTATTTGTTCATTATTAATTAAGGCTTTGTTCATGTTTTATTAAGGCTAATTAAAGAGTAGTTATTACAAAGTTTTAGCCTGAACTCATTTAGAATTAATTATAACCATTCATCATAAAAGCACAAAAGCTGAACACAAGTGGCATGGTATTTACTACTTGAGATAATAGAAAACTGCTGTTTCATGCACACGTCAGTAGAAGCAGAACCATAAACAGGATTGTGACTGGCTGTATTTTAACAACAACATTAACAACATTGCCCTCTGCTGGCCAAACTGTAAGAGCACAGCTACTATACTTCAGTTCAATAAACAGAGCTTAACGACAGCGCATCATCAAGAGTGAAAAATGGAAAAGTAGTGAATAAGAGAAAGAATGGAGAAAACATTTAATCATTTGTTTCATTGACACAAGGCAAAGCGTCAGTGCGATGATGCTTTCAACTACACAACTGTCAAATATTCACTCCAGGAGAGAGTCAGCTGCTTTGCCTGTTAAGGACTGGGTTTGGAGGAGTTCATACAGGGTCATTCATAGGGGTGGGTGATATGCCATTGTGTATCATGATTTTCTTGGAGCCAAATCACAATTTTTATTATGATCATCATTCATGTGCACTCGGTTATCTTTTATATTGAATTTAATATAATGTCAATGTGTTGTGATGTTCTTCTATTATTGACCAGTGACTGTCACGTTTTGATATTGTAACTTTATGTTGGTTAATTCAACAATTTTGTTAAAGGTTCTATTTTATTCAAAAATGGCTCTTGAGCTTTAAGCCATGTTCGAATGTAGTTACCTCACCAAAAACATACCTGGAGTTTACACATGTTTAGAGTATCCCCAGGGTTCCCACACTTTTTCACTGACAAAATTTCAAAACCTTTCTATGACTTTTTCATGACCTAAAGTGAATTTTCCATGATTTTACCCTACCCTTACCCTACATGTGTAGAACTGATCATACTTTTAGGGCTAAATATGAAATGTTACCTCTTCCACTCACCTTATGGTCATGGTATTATGCTTTTTAAACATTCAAAATAAAATAGTAAATGCATTTATAGCCTAATGATAACTTAACAGAATGCTGTAGCTATGTGAAAAGAGATACTAAAATTCCAAGGCTTTTCCAAGTGCCATTTTCGATTTCCATGACTTTTCCAGGATTTCCATGACCGTGGGAACCCTGTATCCTTTTATTATTAGTTTGTATACATTTCCAAAGCTCAAGGTTAACAGCTGCCTTTTACCTTTTGTTTAGTAGAGCTTAGAAATTCCAGGTCTGAAATCACCCTAATGATTCTAGTGAAGATTTATGCAGTTTAAAAACACAGTGGAGCACTTCCTGTATTACCACATGACATCACAAGGTGGAACAGAGCGTTTTCTTATTGAGAAAAGAACTCAGCCTAAATATTCAGGATTTGTGTCTTAAACATGTGCACCTAACAAAACACATCTCCTGTTATGTTTTTGATGAGGAAACAACAGTATAACAGTTTAATTTTCATTAGTATGTGACCAGCTTTATAAAGTCAATGTGACATAAAAGTACAGTACATTTAGGTGTACTTTTTGGAGTGTAGATTTAATTAATAAAGGCTTAATTATAATTAAATTTTCATGGCATATCACCCACTTTGGTCAGATGAGGTTCATGTATCTATCACCAGAAGTACATCACAGCATTAAGTCAGATGCCCTACCTTGAGAGGGGAGATGTGTGAGTGCGACACATATCCGTGCACGTTCTCAATCTCGGAGAGGTTCTTTTCGGACACGTGCACGAGCTCTGGAGCCCGCACTTCGTTGGTGAGACGTGGAAAGCCCTGGTCAAGTGGTGGCGAGTCGTCCTCCTGATACTGGTACTGCTGTGAATACATAAGCACCAGGGGAAAACCCGTGAATATAGTACACTTAAAAGACTTCGGCAAAACACAACGCTATGAATCCAAATGTGAATGAAATGTGGATGTTTGACTTGATGAGAAAATGTTCATCTGAGTCATATTTTTCATGCATATGTATGTAAAATTCCTTGCCAACTACTTAATTTACTATTCTACTATTGTGAAAAAAACATCAGTAAAAGTAAAGTTACAAAAAAAAGAAGCTGAAGAAAGTATCAATCTAAATTAAACAACATGCACAAATGACATTCTGAAATTCTTAATAACTTTTCTGGTGGAGGGTCCATTACCTGCTTGTGTCCTTGGAATTATATTTCCTTTGCCTCAAATGTGCCACATTAGGATATTAAATGTATATCTCCATGGAGACAAGCAGGTGCTGTCACCAGGCAAAGTTACAGATTAGATCTATGGAGTGATGACCCAATCACTGGAAGAAAGCAAGAAGAAAGCTAGAATTCCTGTTTCTTACTCTCTCTTTCCACTCCAACTCAATTTTCTGTCATGCTTTTTCAGGCGTGTCCAAATTATGGCCCGTGTGCCGAATGTGGCACAATTGATAAAATTACTTAAATTAACTATAAAAATGATCACTATAATCTCAATAACAACACACTGCATTTTGATACAGACCTAAAATTGATGTTGCAAATCTTATTCAAGGTACAATGGGTCTGTTTAAGCTTTGAAAAATGCACCATCTCAATGTTCCACTGTATTGTCCAACTGTCTGTGGGCTTCCACTTTAATTATGTTTCAATATGTGGTCCTCAGTGAAAAAAGTTTGGACACTCCGGCTTTGGATGGTAAAAACATCAGATGTCTTCTTTCAAATATAATATAAATTCAATTGTGATGTTGACATGTCTTCAAAGCACAGAAAGACCATTGTCAATGTAATGTATTGAATATGAAAAAGGACAATTTCTAAAATCTAAATAAACAATACAAATGTACCTCTTAGAAACCACAACACAGAAATAAATAAAAGGTGACAGCTTTGATTTAAGTGTTGATAGACAGATGAATGAGAATGCATGAGTAAGAGAGAGACAAATACATGTTGTTTTTTTTCTTTTTTTATATTAGATGACAGTGACTTCAGAATCTGTGTGCCCTGCTTTCTTCTCTCACCCAGGGTGCGCTGGTCAGGGCAGGGGTCATACAGGGTGGGGGTTGGCTGTTGTTGGGGGGCCCATGTACTGCGGGTGGCCTGTTCTGGAGAAAGCAACACCACCAGAGTTCACACAGAATTCAACTTGTGTGTATTCAAAAATAATTATTCACAAATAAGCATTCATCCAAGTCAAACAACCAGCTAACAAACAAGCAGGAGGATTGGAAGCTTCAGACAGCACATGGCACATGGCGAGTACTCAGTTTTGCTACTTAAGTAAAAGTACAGATACCGGAGCAAAAAAGACTTAAGTAAAGGTATCACAAAGTATTAAAGTACCTGCTTAAAAATGTACTTAAACAGTGAAGTATTTCACACAGATTTTGAGATCTAATTAAGCTGGAAATGAACTGATTTTGATAAAGATTTGTGCTGAATTTTGTTCAACAGAAACTATAAATAATTTTTTCTAGATGTTTTTCTTTGGATAGTTTGTTTGCTCAAATTTTGAACTTGATTAAAATAACCTCCCTAGCCTTTTCAGTAGGTTTCAAACAATAATAAAAAATAATTTAACTCTTCAGCCCCGTTAAAAAATGTGGAGTAGCAAGTACAGATAGCTGCTCTTAAATGTAGAGAAGTAAAAGTAAAAAGTATTAATTTAAACCTATCTAAAATTTGTACTTAAGAACTGTACTTTATGACTTTTACTTTCTACCACTGGTGCTAAAAGTGGTCCCCAACTTTTCTGCTCTAAATTGTCAATCGCTATGGCATAAATAGACATAGCGATGCGCAGATGTCACTACAGATGTGAGCATAATCAAGTGTAACACACACATACACAACCAGAGGGCACAGAAAGTATAGAATGAAAGAAATATAGCATGAAGAATCTTAAATATATTCAAAGTGAACAGCAATTACATGGTTCAAAACACAATCCAACACTGTATTGTGCCTTTATGCAAAAGAAGTGTAGATATACAGAATAAAGCTGAGGGTGATGCTAACCAACTGCAACGCTCCAATGATTAGCTCACAGTTATTTTTATGGCACCTCAAGGCAACAGTGTAAAGCAATGTATTCTTTATTCTTTGGATGTGTATATATATTTATTAGAATAACTTTTCTGGTGTAGGGTCTGTCAAATGCTTTTCTCCATGGAGATTGCTTTGTCTGGATGTTTCACAGTATGAAGACCAAACCAGATCAAGTTACAGGTCAGATCTGTGGAAATGCAACTCCACTCACAATCAGAATGCCTGTTTTTCTATGTATTTTTTAGCTGTAAAACCAACTGTAATTCAATAAATGTAAGACAAAGGTGTTTAATGCCATACTGTGGAACATACAGGCAGAGTAATGACTTATCCATAGAAAAAAGCAGCTGAAAGAAACCCAACCAAAAAATTTAATTTTTAAGGAGGATTTGCAGGATGTGGGTGAAGCTGCACAGCTATGGGCCAGGCGTACATCAGCTAGAGGCCCTACTAAAAATAGACACATGTTCCATAATTTCTCCATGCTTGAATACTCATTTGTATAATCCTTACAGTACTACACGCCTATTAGTAAAACAGACTACTGCTTGTGTTATGCCTATATTATTGTCGTTACATTACAATGTGACGTGTAACTTTCATTTAGAAACTCCTACTGCTGCTGCTACTACTACTACTGCTACTGCTACTACTACTTCTACTTCAACTACTACAACTACCACTACCACTATTACCAATATTACCACTACTACCACTACTACTACTATTCCTGGTATTATTCCTAGGCGTCCTCCTACTACACCTACTTCTACTACCACTATTTCTACTTCTATTCCTACTCCTCCTACTACTACTATTCATATTTCTATTCCTACTCCTATTACTGCTATTCCTACTGTTATTCCTACTCCTCCTTCTACACCTACTATGCTTACTACTACTACTGTTCCTACTACTATTCCTGCTCCTCCTTCTACTACACCTACTTCTGCTACTACTCCTACACCTACTTCTACTACTAATGTTCCTACTATTATTTCTAGTCCTCCTCCTCCTTATACACCAACTACTACTACTCCTACTACTACTACTACTCCACCACCTACTAATACTCACTACTACTATTCCTAGTCATTACTCCTACTACTCCTACTCCTATTCCTACTCTTCCTACCCCTACTCCTACTACTCCTCCTCCTCTTCCTCCTCCTCTTCCTACTCCTACTCCTCTCCTCTTCCTCTTCCTACTTCCTACTCCGACTCCTACTCCTACTACTCCTGCTACTCTTCCTACTCCTACTACTCCTACTACTCCTACTACTCCTACTCCTACTACTCCTACTACTACTCGTAAGACAGACACTATTCGTGTTTCGTGTTATGCATAAATTACTGTTATCACATTACAATGCCTTGTGTAACTTCAACGCTCCGCTGATCATATTTCTTTTTGGGGTATTACAAGGACAAGGTTGTGAGAAGGCCAACTGCTGCCATGGGACGTCGCGCACAAAAAAATTAATTGCCACGTCTAATGAATTCTTAACGTTTTAAAATGAAAAATGCAACCCTCCCTCCACACGTCCTTAATAAAGTAATTTAATAGAATGACAAGACGGAGAAGAAAGGAATCTGCATAGAAACAAGACTCACTGAAGGACCATGTCTGCTTAGGTAACAAAAGGAGAAAAAAAACACAAAATAAATGTCTCAGAGGGTGGCAGTTCTAGTCAAACAACACCTGTTTCTGTCAATGCCCTATATAGGCTACTGCTGCCACTACTACTGCCACTACTACTACTACTGTTAGTACTACTACTATACCATAAACCTGTAATTAATAAGTTACTAATCCCGAATCATTCTCAATTAAGTATTAACTATATATGAACTAAGTCTTTTGTTTTGTTGTCACTGTCATGTAGTAGATTACTCAAACATGTGTGAATGAAATAAAACACAACTTCAGGTAGTTTGAGGTATATTCCAGGTTTTTGAGGAGGTAACAACATAATGTGATTTAACACTCACAAGAGACAATTTTGAATAATATATGATCACTAAACTTTAATCTTACCCTATTAACCAATGTCTGAACTTTAGACCATGTCATTGATTTAATAATAAAGGATTTATGTTATGAGGACCTAATTTACAAATTAACTACTTAATTAATGTCTTAACTCATAATTAAGTAGTCTTTCTTAATCATTTAATTATGAAGCTACCAGTAAGTCTTTTGTCACGCTTTACTTGGTTAAGCAGGCTATGGTCACTGTCATGAATTGGGTTTCAATAGTACACAGAAAGTACTGCTCTATAACTCAAGGTCATCCTACAAGTTGTATGCAGATTTGTTTTTCTGAATACCTGCACATGTATTTTTATTAAGACCCTGTATTGGGGAATAGTTCTGTTCATCCCAGTGGTGAGTGGAACACCTTTGGCCCACTTCTATTTGAAGAGCTGTTAGACCACAGGTACAAGCCCCATTCAACCAAAAGAACAAGTTCTTCTCTGCTCTCTGTAATTACTGCCATCTGCAGGATTCATCAGCAGATGGGAAGATTAAGTGGTACAATGAGTTTCTCTCTGACTATTCAAGGATGTAGAGGATGCAGAGAGAGAGAGATGAGATCTCCTTTTTATCAATAAATCTATCACGCACCTTTGCCTGTTACTCAATTTTTCACTAAACACGAAGTAATGATTTTCTGTTTGGTGCGTTAGCTTGCAAATTTTGTGCAGCGCACTCATCAACATCAGGCTAAGTTATAAATGGAAATGTTTCCCCTCATTTCCTAAGTCCATTGTTCAGTTTTACTATGTAAAGTCAAGG